GGTTAGTGCTTTTACTTGATTTGATAAACCTTTTTTACATCAAATATAATGATATCACTTTTTTATTTATAGGCAATTTCAAATTATAATCAAATAAATGAAATCACTTACGTAGATGTCTTGGTATATCCTCAGCAAGTATCGGAGATAGCACAAAATCGATATCGGATTCGCGGATATATATCAGCATGTATGCATTCATAGAACTGTTAGCTTTGGTGATTTCAACTTCATAATTATCTCCAAGCACTTCTTTATCAATTACAGGTATAATTCTATGATTGTCAAATTTAAACCTATTATGATAATTAATGTTGATTAATGTATCTAACATATTATTACGATCTAAAAATCAATTTATTATTAAAATTTAAACCAAACCATTTTCCATTCTTTTCTGGTTTTAAAAAAATATAATAACTGCCTTCATATAAGTCACCACTGTGAACAATTACTCTAAATATAAAAAAAGTTCTTAATACATTTTAATAAACATAAATATTTAGAAAATTTTATTGCCACTTATACAAACCCATGAAGTAAATAATTATGCGGTTTTGACCTATCACTATCTGATGATAAATATCTTTCTAAATCAATTTCCAGAGGATATTCGAGACGATCATTTATCTAAGTATAACTTTCAAGTCAATAAATTATTGAATTAAATACTAGAGGCATAATAAAATATATAGGTACTTTAACTACAGTATCTTTTTGCGAATCATATTCAAATCGGTTTAATTGTATACGTAGTACGGGTGGAAAACTCTCAAAAATTACACCTTTTTTTGCATCCTACAATTATATAATTAAAAAATTTTTGCATTTAAAGTAGGCTTCAGTAATTCTGTGACAAATATGACTTACTTGCAAACCATAAGTTTCAGTTTGATATTCACAAGATTCTTCACGAATATAATTCATGAATGAATCGCTTAAAGTTTTGTGTCCTTTTACTTCAAGAAGAATATCTATCGTGATAAAATTAATTTTACTTTAAATCAATCCTAAAATTTATAGATACTATATATACATATATTCATTAATACCATAGTAATCCTCAATACATGATCTCTCAAAATTTACGTTGACACATCTAACATAACTCTTCATTTTTCCAACAAAGAGTCTAGAAATGGCATCATCTACATTTGTATTCTTAAACCCAGGTATAAGTGTCAACAAATTTATAGTGTAAAAATTCTCAATAAACGAAAACCCACCTTCATTTTATTCTCTATATAATCTAGTAACACTCTATCAAACTCTTGTACATCATGCTGCGTGTTACAAACTGACGAATCCCACCCAAAAGAGTTCGTTAATTCCGTTGTTATAACTGGAGTATCTGATATTTGTAATTGATAAAAAAGTCTTTGCATTGCCAAAGGAACACTTTTGACTGGTTCATTATCTTCTGTCGGAATTTGATATATTGCCTATAAATAAAAAAGTGATATCATTATATTTGATGTAAAAAAGGTTTATCAAATCAAGTAAAAGCACTAACC